TGCGGTACGCGGGCCTCTCACTGTTGTGGCCTCTCCCGTTGCGGAGCACAGGCTCCAGACGCACAGGCTCAGCGGCCATGGCTCACAGGCCCAGCTGCTCTGCAGCATGTGGGATCTTCCCGGACCGGGGCACGAACCGTGTCCCCTGCATCGGCAGGCGGACTCTCAACCACTGCGCCACCAGGGAAGCACAGATGCTTCCCGATTTTTGTCGACTACACATAACGTTGCTCTTACCCTTAATTTCGACATGACTTGACTAACCCAATCTACAACTGATCACAGTCCCTGGGGGAGACTCTGCAGACCAAGACACTATGTCCAGGAGTCCGTCCAGCTTAATAACTCACAGCTGATACTGGGACAGACCTTTGCATTTTTACAAATCACTTTCACGGGTCTTAACTCTCAACTGTCACGACCCACCCGAGTGGGCTCCACGGGGCCCTCGGCAGCATCCCCTACCTTCCCGAGCTGTGTACTCGTTGTCCTCTATGATCCGCGCCAGGCCGAAGTCAGCAATCTTGCACGCCAGGGACGCAGACACCAAGATGTTGGCGGCTCGGAGGTCTCGATGGATGTAGTTCCTCTGCTCGATGAAGGCCATGCCTTCTGCAATCTCCACCCAAAACAGAGACACCCTTACCCTCAGATCTGGCCCAGCCCAAGGTGGGTCTCATCCAAAAGCAGAAGAGAAATGTCCGAGTGTGAGAAAGTTGGAAAATATGTGCGCCAGCTCCCTCTTTTTGTGGGAGGGTCCTGGGCTCAGGCTGGCATTTCTCTACCCAGCCAGACTGGGGGGATCCTCATGGCCTGGGCCAGTTTGGGGCTTCTCTAGAGCTCCAAGACCTCCCAAGAACACTTTGAGGAAAAAGTGTTATTTCTCCAAGGACCTACACACACACAAACCAGTATACTTCAACAGGCTTTCATCCCCAACCCCACTTCTGGGGACAACCTAGGCTCACATAACATTCTGCTGTATCTCTTATGCCTCCTTCACCCCCAAGCCTGGGTAGGGAAAATTCCTTTATTCATTCAACAAATATCTACTGAGTGTCTCATGGGTGCCAGACATATTGCTTGAACAGGTGGGGAGCCAGGCAAAGTCCCTGGCTCCCCTTAAGTACCATAAAGAAAGGATAAAGCAGGTAACACGAAGTGTAGAGGGCTGTTTTGGATTGGATGGTCAGGGAAGGCTGCTTTGATGAGGTGAAATTTTAGGAAAGATCTGAGTGATGATAAAAGCGTGTCAAATAAGAGCATCACCATGCGCAAAGGTCTGGAAGTAGGAGTGAGCTTGGGTATTCATAGAACAGGTGGCTGAGCAGAAGTTGCCAGAGGGAAAGTTGGAGGAGTTGAGGTTGTTAGGGAGGCTGCTGATTGGGAAGAACCTTGTAGGTTAGGAGAGGCAGCTGGGTTGTATTCTAAGCATAAAGGGAAGAGAGAAGTCTTAGAGCAGGAGAGTGATATATATTTTATCACTGATATATATTTTAATGTCATCATGGCTGCTGAGTGCATAATGGACTGTGTGGAGGATTCTTTTCTTTTGGTTTTGTTTTGAATTTTTGAATTTCATTTTATTTATTTTTTTATACAGCAGGTTCTTATTAGTTATCCATTTTATACATATTAATGTGTATATGTCAATCCCAACCTTGTGTGGAGGATTCTTATTCACAATGGGACCTTGGAAGACTGACAGAAAGATGTGGGATCTTTCCTTAGAGATGTTTTCCACTTACAAGGGTTTGTGCATTAACCCTCAGAAACAGGCTTATGACTAACCCTCAGAAACTCAGAAAATAGCATTTATAGTTCATAAACTGGCCTTCAATGCCCTTGAGGCGGGCGTTATCACAATCTCTGTTGCACAGGAGAGGGACACATTTTCTAGATCACACCACCAGGGAGATTCTGACTCAAACCTGTCTGTGGATTTCCACTCCCCATACCCCAAGCTGCCTCTAGTTACCCAGAACTCCAGTGCTCTAGAGAACTGCAGCTGGGTGCAATCTGGTGAGATTATTTGGGGAGGTGGGACTTCTGACCAGACCAAACCAAGACACAAGCCTGTTCAAAGTCGGAGGCAAGTGGATGGTGCACTTGTGGAAAGTGGCCAGCAGGGAGAACCTGTGGCCATTGGAACTGAGGTCTGAGGCTCCAGGCTTTCCAACAAAGACGTGAGACTTTCTGATTTTGTTTGTGGTAAGGCAGAGTCTTGACAAGGGGGTGTGGAAAATTTATAAGGAGTTCCTCGACCAAACAGTTAACAACAGCTGTAACATTAACGGCGGACGTTGTAGCTTATTCATTAATCATAAGATAATACTTAACAAACTTAAATAGCATTTACTCTCTGCTTTGGGGGAGGTACTATTGATATCAGCACTATTTCACAGGTGAGAAAACTGAATCCCAGAGAAATAATTGACTGGCCCAAGTGGAGACCAGGACTGGAAATCTGACAGCCCTGCTCAGGGTCTGTGTCCATTACTCTACCTGAATGTTTGGCACAGAGCAGGCACTAATGCTGGTTGTTACCATTTTTCAGTACCCAGGGACAGACTCTCATGTTATGGATTTGCACATGAGCACATGAGCTCAGTGGGGCAGGTGGGACTAACCCCACTCAGGAGACAGCAGATGAGAATGCTTAGGTGACTCCGGGGTTGGGCCAGCTCAATTTGAGCCCCACATCTCTGTGATCTCCAAGCAAACTACATTAACCCTCTGTGCCTCACTTTTCTTCTCTGTAAAATGGGGACAGTAGAACCTTCTTCCAAGGGATCATGTGAGGATTAATACTCTAAGTCTACATCAGGGCTTAGAACAGAGTCTGGCATATAATTATTCACTTCAACAGTGGCTATAATGGTCCCTGTTGAGGAAAGTGGCCCTCAGAAAGGTTAAGCAATTTGCTCAAAGCTACACAGGCAGAGCTGGGGTCAATAGCAAAACTCTACGTGATTCCTAAGCCCATGTGTATATAGTGGCTCTTCTCAAGGGTTTGTCAACTGAACAAATAGTGGATAGGTTGACTGGGTTCAGGGTTGGTCTATGAATTGGGGGTTGATGAGGTGGTGAGATTTCATGCACACCATGTGGGCTGCCATGATGTCAGGAGTTATTACTGGGTTTGCTTCTCAGAGTATCAGAGAATCACAGAACCAGCTGGAAGGGCCTATAGGGATATCCCAGCTCAGGGCTCTTCAAACTGAATCCAATCGATACCTCAAGGTCATCTTGGGGTTGGAGGGACAAAATAAAGGCCACCTGCTTCAATCAGAGCAGCTCTGTTATGATCTATTTTAAAGTATTCAGCTGCTTTATAAGATTCATTTGACCAACCGAGTTATGGCTTAAAAAAAAAAAAAGAAAAAGCTTTCAAACTTGAAAACCACAGAGATGGTCCAATTCCCTCATTTGACAAATAGAGAGACCAAGACCCAGAGTGGATCTGAGGCTCCACAGCCAGTTGGTGACAGGGCTGGGCAGCCTCCAGTGACTGTGCCCACCTGCCTCTCTAGACTGGAAGTGAAGATCAGGCCACCAGGTTGACTCCTTCCTGTCCCTGGGCTCTGAGTGTACCTCTGCTCCTTGATGCACAAAGGCCTGGAACCTCTTTCC